GTCTGAGGAGAAGGGACCAGGAACCAAGAGCCATGGTTTTAGAAGAATCAGCACATGGTACTGGAGAGACTGGAAGTAATGACAGGAGCAGTGCTGGAAAGAAAGCTAGGAGCCAAGAGCTCTACTTCCAGAGATGAGGAGGCGTGGTCCAGAGTCTGGACACCTGAGCAGACAGGAGAGAGCTAAGAGCTCTGTAGTCTGTGGACACAGCCATTAGAGCTGAGGGGCTGAAGGCAGGAGGGGGGAGGGGTCTGCAGCTGGAAATTGACTTCCAGGGATGAGGAGGAGTGACCCAGCATCTGTAGTCACCCAGGCAGACAGGAGAGAGCTTAGTGGTCTGTAGTCTGTGGAACACAGCTGTTAGAGCTGGGGGACAGAGGTGGGAGGGGGAGGGTGGTCTGCAGCTGTCAGGAAGAGCAAGGAGGCATCCAGTGCATTTCAGGTCGGTGAGGTACGGGATCAGAGGGGAGGGTCTGCAGGGGACGTAAGCCAGAGCTCCGTTAGAGGAGATGAAGGGCACTGAGAGGAGTTGGGGATCCGGGGGTTTCAGAGGGCACCGTGGGAGGGATTCAGTGATAGGAAAGAATGAAGGCGTGTGAAACCACTGTGTGCGGTTCCATGTGATCTTGTCAAGGTCCTCATGGGCTTTCAGTTGGCTTTGTTCAAAAACTCAGGTTTGCCCCAGCACCCTGAATGCACATGCTGTTCAAGTGAACAGAGTACTTGCTCAGGGTAGACCAAGTGGGATGAAAACAACAAAAGTGTGTATTCTGACCACAGTGTAATTAAATTAGAAATCAAGAACAGAGGAGAGTTGGGAAATTCACAAGTATTTGGGAAGTCACTCCTAAATAACCACTGGATCAAAGCAGAAATCACAGGGGAAATTAATAGTTTCAGCTGGACAGGAATTAAAACAGTTGAGATGCAGCTAAAGCTGTGCTTGGAGGGAAGTTTGTAGCCCTAGGTAACTCGATTAGGAAAGAAGGAAGCTCTTAAATAACCCAGGCTTCTGCCTTTAGAAAGTACAACAGCAAACTGAATCCAAAGTAAGCAGAAGGAAACTCAGACCAAACTCACTGCCCTTGAGTCAGATCTGACTCATAGCGACCCCACCTTGGGTTTCCGAGGCGATGCCACTATGGAAGTAGATTGCCCAGCCTTCTTTCCGAGGAGTGGCTGATGGGTTTGAACTGCCAGCCTTCTGGTTAGCAGTCAAGTGCCTTAGGCACTGCGCCACCAGAGCTCCCAGAGTGGCACTAGAGCTCCCAGAGTGGCACTAGAGCGTGGGAAGGCTCGGGCCAGTACAGTCACAATAGGGCACATACCCTAGAGGGCAGAAGAACACAACTGTCTTATACGGTCTGTTCCCACCATAGACCTGAGACCAGACGTGATCCTGACAGTCGAACATTCCGAAGACTACCAAACAAAACCACCCTGCTAGCGCAGTAACAGAGCCGCCCGAGTTGTAGGACACAAGCCTGCTGTCTAAAAATCGTGTTTCTGTGCACTAACAGGGAAAGATCCAAGAGCAAAATCAGGGAGGTGATTCCATGCACAGTAGCACCCAGAATGTAATACTTAGACGGGAACTTGACTGAAGAGCGGGAGTTGCACACTGAGTCTTAACTGGACCCTTTTGTCTGTTAGGAGAAGTGAACCCAGCAAGCAGGGGGCCGGCCTGGCGCCACTCTTGGATGCACCGCCTTTGAAGAGTGGTCTCAGCTCCCTGGCGGGAGCCCCATCCTTAAACAACTCGGAAAGTAAGTGCCCTCCCAGCTCCGAGGTGTGTGCAGGATGCTGGCGAAGGTTCTTTCTCTAGTTAGTGTGCGAGCACAGTTTAAATTTCCAGAAAAATACTCATGACAGTATTAAGACTAACCGCAGTCTCATCATGCAGAAATATTTTATGTTACTATTTTGTTATTTTTTAAACACAGTTGTGGTCATATTGTTCATATCATTTTGTATTCTGTCTTATATACAGTTAAAATACTTTCGAGAAGTGAGCTTGTTCAGTCGCCTATTATCATCCGTAAACACAGAATTTTCAAGCCATCTCTCATCTGACAGACATTGAGGCAGAGTCGATCCGACTCATAGTGACCCCTCCTTGGGTTTCGGAGGTGGTGTCTCTATGGAAGTAGATTACCCAGTCTTCCTTCCGAGGAGTGGCTGGTGGGTTTGAACCGCTAGCCTTCTGGTTAGCAGTCAAGTGCCTTAGGCACTAAGCCACCAGAGCTCCTACTTTAGCAGGATTTAAGCTTCATTAATTATTTAAAATTAGCTTCGTAGATTCTGTGATCCCAGTAATCATCGTGGGAACACTAATGTTACTCTCCCTTCAAGCATTTGGTCTGACGCATCTTTATACATGTGGCAGAGGTAGGGATTACTATCTCGAAAAGTAAGGAGCTCTGGTGGTGCTGTGGGTAAGGCACTTGGCTGCTATCCAAAAGCAGTTTAAACGGTTTGAACCCACCAGCTGCTCTGTGTGAGAAAGACGAGGCAGTCTGCTTCTGTAAAGATTGACAGACAGCCTTGGAAACTCTAGGGTGGTCACTGAGTTGGAGTCGACTTGATGGCAGTGGGTTTAGTTATCTAGAAAATAGACTAGCCAAGCTACCATACGACTTACCTTCTCCCCCTCCCAACACCCACAATTCAGAAGCATGGCCGCCAGCAGACCCCGCAGATGTGGGCTGAGCTTTGCTCTCGTGTCGTAGTAAGTATAGGGTTGATGGGCAGTGTGGTTAGAGCATGAGGCCAGCTCTTCCGAGAAAGTTCCTTGAAAAAGTAAATTTTGATGTGGAAGTTGGAGTGCGTGTGTGGCCTGGCTTTGCAGCGCCTCCTGACCTTTTGGGGTGCAGGGCACACCTGGAGGACACGTGGAGAGATGAGATGGCCTGTTGGCACCTTAGACCTGAGACCAGCTGTGTGTCCACTCTTCTGCCCTCAGCAGTCGCTTCTGTCCTTCCTTCCTCGTGGTTACTGCCCCCTCCGCAGAGGAACCCAGGATGACAGCTCTACACCACGCAGGGCCAGTGGTTTAGAGAGGACATTGGGAGGGAGGGACGAGAGAAATGAAGCCTGTGAGGAGAGTAGCTTGGCAAAGGAAATGCAGTTAAATGGAAGCAAAATTTAGAAGTTCACAGGAAAAATAAATTGATGAGAATACAGTCTGTGAATGTGTACTAACAGGCTTTTTGTGCAAGATGCTGATGGATTTGTTGGCAAAACATATTTTGATGGTCATCTTCCAAGAAAGAGGAATAATGTTTATGGTTAAAAA